TAGGCTCTGAGAGTAAAGTCCCATTCGCGCCACTTGATGTCGTTCTCGCCACTCCTGCCGGTAAAGACGGGGAAGGTGGCCTTTGTCTCGAGATTGAGTGTCATCTCTGCTGTCTGCTTTGTTGATGTTGTTGTTGTCTTTCTTCAAGTACTGCTAGTAGTTGACTGCTGCTGATACTGCGCAAGACACTGATAGACCTGTTAGGATCTGTCAGTTAGCTGGCGAAGACTTCGGCTCAGATAAGCAAGAACCAAGTTGCTGCGCCCATGTGCGGAAAAAGCCGGTGAGGACCTTTCCTGTAGTTAGCTGAATAGAGGATCTGTTGGGCGGTAAGTCCCAGAGTAAGAGTGCTTTTACTTTAATAAGACCGATGGACTGGCCAATCAGTCAAAGTTGTTTCTGTCCATGTATGGCATCATGAAGGGTGGTCAACACAGATCTCACTTCGGTGATGACTGTTAAGATCGTGTCTCCTCAGAATGCTTTCCTTGTCTTTCCTTGTCTTCTCCTCTCTCCACCCGTTACACAGCAATATACCCTAGCTCACAAGCTCGCAGTGGTTCGTTCTTGCCAAGCTGGCAATCCTGACACATAGCCTTCTTTCTGTTTCAAATGCGAGCTTTCAGTGGCTGAGAGAGCGGTTTCACGGAATGTCGTCTGGAAACAGAGAGGACCGCTGCAACATGAAGGATCTGTGAGGAAAGGTGCTCTGGAGTTTTTGAAGTGAGTGACTGGCACCTCATGACGTTCCGGTGGGGTGACACCGCAACCAGCGGCAGTGACGGGCTCTCCCGCAGCAGTTGGTGGGGCACTCGTGTGTCCCGCAATCAGGAGAAACCAGCGGATCAGACAGAGGTGAAGAGAAATACAAAGACGGCCGTGGTAATGGATGCGATGGATGGATGAATTTCATTGGTTGCTGTGTGCATCAGCCTGGCTTGTTGCTGAAGTTTGATCCCGGCACTGGCAAGCCATCTGCACTCGCAACCGACACACTCAACGGAAAGGTGCGTATCAGGGGCAAGGGGTGATTGGCACAGCAGCTCGGACGTGTGCACCTCTCTCTCTCTCTCTCTCTCTCTGTGTGTGTGTGTGTGTGCGTGTGTGTGTGTGTCGTGTGTGACCATGGCTGCAGCATGTGGGCTTGTTCTTTGCCGCCGAGTGGTGCATCTACTGCAAAGGCTTCCTGCCCTTCCTCCTCAAAGTGTACCGCATCCTGCAGCCCAAGAAGATCTTCGAGGTCGTCTACGTGCCGTGCGATCGCGACCCTGAGACCTTCCAACGATTCGCATCCAGCATGCCTTGGTAGGCCAGGTGTCACGATGGTCAGCCGGCCGGCTGCATTCCTCGTCTGTCATGTGTGTACAGGCCGACATTGCCTCTGGAGAACTATGGGTATCTGTGGTCTTCCAGGGATGGCGTGTCCATCTCACATGGTGTGCTTTTGCGTTTTGATCAGGTATCTGATCAAAAAGTACGGCATCAATGTGCTGCCAACAGTGGTCGTGGTGGCGCCCGACGACACAATCATTCACAGTAAGGACATGACACGACACGGCAAGGCACGGCATAGTACACAGGATAGACCGAATGAATGAAGGAGTGAATGAGTGAAAATGGATGGCAGTAGGAGTGAAAATGGATGGCATGGCATTGCAGAGAATGCGGTCGGGATGATGCGTGCTCCGGGTGGCGAGGAGAACTTCGAAACGTTCCTTCGCAGGTATGACCGATGGACACCTTTCGCCGTCTCGCTGTGCATTCAATTTCCTCTCTGTCTCTCCGCTCCGCAGGTGGAAGCCGACAAACGGTGATGGGACGAGCAGCAATGACAGATTCTTCCGCCTGTTCAAGTGAAGCAGCACCGACAACGAGTGATGCGACGTGCGTGATGGACGGCCAGTTGTAGAAATGGTTTTTGTGTGGCCGTCCGTCTGCTCTGCTTGAGTCATATATGTATGTCGAGTTTGTAGAGTTTAGATCAATGTTCGATCTGAGTGATTGACCGATATAAGTATACTACACGCACTTCAAACGAACACATAGAGAAGCAATCGACCAAGCAAACTGAGCACGAGCAGCAATGAAGGTGGTGATCGTTGTGCTGGCATTGTTCGTTGCCTCGGCCAAGTCGCAGACGTCTCTGTTGTTTGGCGAGGAGGGAGAGAACCCGCCGGACGAGATCTTCTACTATGGGTAGACGCACAGATTAGAGGGACAGAGAGACACACAAAGAGCTGACCCCTTCGTGTGTGCCTTGTGTGAATTGTGTGCAGCTTTCCGGGTTACTTCGCTGGCCACGACCACTGGATGCCCTCCGAGGCTCCTGCCGTCAAGGTGATGGAGGAGCATTTGCTGCCCATCCACTGCCCGGCCGGCCAAACCATCACAGTCAAGCGGGCATCCTTCGGCACCCCGATCGGCGAGGGCAGCGCATTCAAGCAGGGCGCCTGCCACCACCCGCAGTCCACTTACACTGTCAAACGCCTATGCGCCGGCAGAGAGAAATGCAAAGTGCGTCGATCAAGAAGGCCTCGCAGTGAGACACAGCATATGCATTTGTTGTCCTGTGTTATGTGTTGTGTGAAGGTGCTGGCGTCAGTGTCCACGTTTGGAAAGGGCCACGACCCCTGCCCAGACACGCAGAAGGCTCTCGCCGTCGACTACGAATGCACACAAATCACCGAACCGAGGCCTCTCTACGGTGACCACACACACGCACACACACACACACACATCGATGGCCGGATGGACGGACGGGAATGCGCACGGTGTCTGCAGATCGTGCGACAGGGACGTTTCGCGAGGGTGTGCATCCAATCTACTTGGTGAGTGAGTGCAGGAGCGAGCTGGAAAGACACACGTCTTTGTGTGCATCCATTGGTTGTGTTAGTATCTACCCACGCACACCGCCCCATGCAAGAACGTCCTCTCAACCAGCAACACGGTGCGCAGCCTGGACAGGCCAGAGAGGCCATCCAGTCAGCTGTAACTTCGTGTGGGTATGTGTGTTGGAAAAGACAGACGTTCACAATTGGCGAGGCGACGGCAGAATGCGATTCCGACCCCAAGTGCGCATTCTTCACCTTTGACCCTAACACAGCCCGAGCCGTCTATTGTTCCGGTGGGTCGATGCGGACAGGCCACAGAGACACACAGACAGGGAGAGTGGGAATGTCGTCGGTGCAGATGATTCGTGGACTGGGAGCGAGAAGCACATGGATGCGGTGGTGTGCGTGAAGCCCCGCGAGATGAGTGAGTCGAGCTTCGCCATCTACCCAAACAACGCCGGCATATGCTCGGCCGCAAACACCATCAAACACATGGTCAGCCGCTGCATGCATGTGTCCAGCTGCTCTCGTGTGTATGTGCGTGTGTGTGTGTGTATGTTGTCAGGATGACGTGAAGCGGCCGCACGAGGCGGCTGAGGCATGCCGTTCACAGCCCAACTGCACCCACTTCACATGGTCACCAAACTAAGAGAGAGATCGACTGACAGGAAAGCCGTCTGCCTGTGTGTGTGGGTGGGTGGGTGGTTCCACTGCTGCAGGAGCGACGGTGGTCTGCTGTCTGCTGAGGGTTTCCGCGCCTACGCGTGGCTGTGCTCGGGGACGCCATCGCAGATACCGCACGGTCAGCTCACAGACACAGACGTACACAGACAGATAGAGACACGTCTGCGTGCGGTGTGAGAGTGCAGACGGTTTCGCGTTCGGTGTCTATGTGGGCGGCCCCCAGCCGACACTGCCGCCACGCAAGTCGGAGGACAGGCGAGTGGGCATCGCAGCACCCGGCCGCCAGGGCTACCCCACACAGACTCAGTTGTCCAAGGCCCGACTGGCCAGACGCACCACAAACGACAGAGAGCTCGCCGGACAGATCAGCTGATAAGTGAGTGATTGGCCAGCCTCGCTGACATACATTTCATCGATGTGCGTACTGTACGCGGTCGGATGCAAATGACAAGTACTTGAACCATCAATGAACGACTCCATTCATGCAAACAACATCCGATCCATAAGCCATACACTATCGATGGTGAGACAAAGCGTGAATCGTTGGTGTCTCTCTCGAAGAAATCACTCATGAATGAAGCCGATGTATACATTAGTACATCGAAGGCGCTAAGCGCACGCACATACGTACAATTGATGACAAACAGATATATAGTGTATGTACACATACATGACACATTCTATGAAATTGAAACACCAAGATCTCACATTCAACAGCTATCTGTCTCCCCGCTTAATTGTGTATGTCGCGATGCGCCAAGAGAAAGAGCTGCTCTTCAGCCGTCCCATTGGTCGGCTCTAAAATAATGCCAGGGTCATCCGGTGGCAAGGGCGGCCTCCCTGGGGGCTCAACCACTCCAGCAGATGACGGCTCTGGGCACGTGATCGTCACGTCGGCCGTAATGCCAATGTCGCACAAGAAGTTGTTGATAAGAAAGGCATAAAGACCTGGTTCAGCGATGAAGACAGGACCGAGCAGAACCTCCCCCCTCAGGACAGATGGCTCCGAGAAAAAGTCGCTCTCGCATCCACGAAAGACATGTATCACCGTCGCAGACCTTGACTCCTCATTGTGATACTCCGCACCGATGAAGCCTGGCCTGTCGAGCTCGGCGAAGAGCAGCCTTTGCGCTAGGGAGGCACCGTTACAGACGAACCTCTCGAGATCGAACACCGGTAGAGGCTTGTCGAGAACAGTCGACTCGAAGGTAATCCTGGTGCCACAGATGGCCTGGGGCCCATCGGGGATGAGATTGGTGACGAATGCGCTGTTGGTGTCGTCCAGAAGGCTTGCCGGGCACCCAGCTGCACACACACAGATACAAGATCAGGAGACATATACATCTTGCCGTCACGCAGGGAAGGCGAGTGCTCTTCGCTTACGTATGGGCAAGTCACGTGTGCCGGGCTTCAGTCCAATGTACGGAATGAATTCGGCCCCCACGCGACTTGTAATAGGCGGCAGCTTCATAGCCGGCCGCTGTTGGAACGGAGACACTGCACAGACATGACACCAGAGGTGAATAGCACAGCTGAGCTGTCATCTGCTTGGCTCACTCACCGGTGAAACTGCATGTGCGTGTGACGGTGCTGCCGTCAATCGTCAGGGCATCCTTCGGCAGCGGTGGGTATATCATGGCCACCAGCTTATCGCCCGCCCTGACCTCTCCCCTGGAGTCGTCGTAACTCAATTGTGATGAGCCCAGGCCACCGACCTTGATCACATCAGCACGGCACTTCTCGTCTTTGGTCACACCGAAGTTGAGGATCGTATCAGTGGTGGAACTTCCCGATATGAGGCTGCCCTCGCCCGAATTGGTGACGGTCACCTCCACTCCCCTGCCGTCACTCCCGGCCTCGATCTTGAGCAGGATGGTGTCTCGCGAACCATCGTCTCCGCCACTTGATGCCCCGGACACCTCGACTTTGGCTTTGGGTGGCACTTTGCCGTCGATAACAATGTAATCGCTGCCTCTGCCACCCACTACTCGCATAAGATCTAGTGCGGAGTTGTCGCCCGTGATGGTGACTGAAATGCAGTCGTTGCCTTCCCGGGCATCAGCTGTCACGCTGCCTTGGCTGCTCGTCACGGAGACGCCCAGTGCGTCGTCGCCTGACGTGCCTCTACATGGCGACCCGTTGTTGCCGGCGCAGGCCACCTCTTTCACCGAGGTCTTAGTCAGACACACAGGGATCTTGTCTGACATACGCACAGACAAGAAACGGAATTGGCAAGGGATGCAAAGGATGATCCACCCTCCACGCCTACCGAGTAACGTGACGGCAGCGTACGCATCCATCAGGCCATGTCCTGTCTGATTGTCGTGGCCAACGTCGAAGTCCCCCGGGCCCTGCTGGCTCAGGTCGATGTAGTCCTCCATGTCAATGGCGGTCTTAAACAACACGTCTCGAATTTCCTGAGGCTTTATGCCTGGCTGCCATTCATTCAGGAGGGATATGACGGCCGCCACGTGCGGGGCTGCGGCAGATGTGCCAAAGAAGTTGAAGAAGTCTGCATGGAGCCAGCACAGACAGGCTGAAATGAGTGGCCGTGTCGGCTGGATCAGGGGCTGCTCACCGAAGTTGTCCTCGAATTCCTTAAAAAAAGTGGTGTGGGTACCATCCTGCACACACACAAAGAAAGACAGCAACGCATCCCCATCCTGTTCGTGTGGCTGTCGACCACAAGTCGTCTCACTGCAGCGGCTATGTCGGGCTTCTTTCTCATTTCCAACGTGGCATTGCCGTCCCTGTCAAAGAGAATCGGCGTCTGTCCATGCGTGGTGAAATACTCAGCCAGTGGCGGATCCACTTCCCCGAAACGAGGCGTGTCGGCATACTGAATGGCAGCCACACACATGTGACATCAATCATGAGTGGAGCTTGTAACACTTTGCTTACATAGGCAGCTGCCACGGCGATGGACAGCGGCACGTTTGGATGCCCCCAGACAGTCGGTGCGCCATCGAAGAAAGTCTGCGGGTACGCAACACCCCCCAGCGGGGTCCAAAGGTACCGCATCAGCTTCGGAGCCGGCCCCTCGAACAGCAGAATCTTGAGCTTGAAGGCTGTGTCAGGGCCGGGGACGCCGTCCACATCGACATCTCCGTCATTTGTAAAGAACATCAACTCGACGGCATCTCTGCCAATGTTGCGGTCGATTCCACCGGCCGCACCGGAGCCGAGGCGGAGGCTCAGCGGATTATCAGCCATATCGAATAGAATGACCTCCAGGTCTGAACCCGACCCCGTCGGACCCTCTGACGCTGAAAAGGACGGCTCCGACCACTGCAAGTTAATGCCAAACGACTCGAATACCGGAACATAGATCACCTGAAGGAAATAGGGGACGGCAGGTGTTCCGGCAGGTGCTTGTCGCCTGGCTCCTTGCTGCCCCATACCTGGTGGTCGACAACCCCATCCGACGGGTCAAAATCATGTGTTGTCAGGATGATCACTTCCCCCGTCGGGCTCCTTATGGCCGTTGGGATGCCGGCGTCTCTAAACTGGGCCTGGTAGGCTCTGATGCCGTCACTGCGGACGCGCACAGAGGGAGAGGGAGGTATTAACTGAGTGGTGAGGCATTTGCCGTCTCACTTGCCGGTCGCCGAGACGAAAGGAACGCCCTTCTCACTAGCTGTCTGGGCGGCCTGAGCCACGATTCCATCCTGCACCCATGCAAACGCAGACAGAAATCCATACGACGCATTTGGCACACAAAACACAGGGCTGTACCTGAAAGAAAGGCTCGGCTGCTATCCCAATCTGGTTGCAAAAAAGGGCAGGACGTGGAACAATCAGGAGATGCACAGGGCGGCGCAATGGTTGTTTCATACATCGTCAACCAGGATGTCGTTGAGCTCGGCCAGCCGAAGAATGTTGTTCGCAAACACCGCCGCTCCGAAATCCGTTGTGGCAAAGGAAAGGGCCGCATGTGGAGCCAAGTCGTGTATCAGCTGAGCCATCGCTGACGCACACCCACACACACAGACCACATGCACAACACAAATGCAACGTCGCTCCCTTTTGTTGTGGTGTTCATCCCTCAGCCGCCCACTCACCTCTGCCTTCGTCACTGTCACCTGGCGATCCATCCTGAACCACCAGTATGCCTTTGGGTGGCAGGTCGCCAGTCTCCACATCCTTAGCCACCGACCCAAAGAAGGGGCTGGTCATATCCACACTGTCAGAAAGGAGTCCAATCTTCTGACCGCGACCAGTCAGGCCGAGTGTGGTCCTCACCACATCGACACGGTGTGCCAAATCCGCTTGACTGGTCGCCAGTCCGCGAGCCACATCGACGCTGCCGAGTGAGTCGAATGCCCCCCGGTGGACGATAAAGCTCCGAGATGCATAGTGGAGCCTCGGCAGCGACGGCAGCTTGTCGATGGCCGACACGGGTAGCCGCCCAGACACCACCTTCTGGAACGCCACACCGTCCTCCATGCCCATCTGCTCAGCTCCTCTAGAAGCCGAGGGGCGTCGTCCTTGCTCTTCGCGACGACATCGACGGCCACCAGGTCATCAGCGCGGATGGTGGTGAAGCCTCTGGGGGTGCCAATGCCCTCTCGGCCGGCTTGTGTCCCCTTCTTCGCAGCCATGCGAGCAGTTCGCTCTTCCGCCGGTGACTGGGGATGCTGGACGGTGGCTGGTGCGCGCACGCCCTCGCCTTCTGGCTGGATGCCGATGAGTGAGGAGAGCGTCCAGCTGATCTTGGCATCGATGGCCTCGTCCTCGGCACTCGCACTCCTGCCACTGTACTTGGATACAAGTCTGCTGTATGCTGAGTGCAGACATAGCAGGACAACCGAGAGGGCGATAGGAGACGCCCTACGCACCGCCATAACGTTAACGGATTTACATCATACACCGTACAAAAGCAGACCTGCCCGCACATCCCTGCATTTTCATGGCGCTGCGCATCCTGGTTTTGTTGCTCGTCGCAACGGCCTTTGCCTTGACTCTCGGTCAACAAGCGCGAGATGAGCCATCGATGCCGGCCGGGGGCAGAATGAGCGAGGATCCTCAACTTGAAGGTGGGTGAACAAGGAGGCTTGGCCGCCGCTGGATGGACGTATGTCGTGCTTGTCAGGCTCCATGGTGACGGATGAGCAGCCTGCTGTCTTCAACAATGGGAGAGGTGCCTCGGCGTCGGCCACAGGAGGCTCGGCACAGAACCGTCAGCTGGCACTTCCAGGCACTGGCAGGCCTTGCAAAACCCTCTCGTAAGGAACCACATGTACGTCTCGTCTGCACTGTCCCTCGTCACGCAATGGCGCCTCTGTGTAACTCAGCTGCCCGAGGTTGCCGCGGCTGCCAGCCACGAGGCTCTTCCGCCGTCGCATCTGAGTGAAGACAGACCCCTCAGGTCTACTTAAGTGTGGTCGAAAGGACCGCAGCTGCATATCAGTGCACAAGCATGTGTGTAGTGCTTTACTGGGGATGGCCGATGTACCACTCGAGTTTTTCACATCACCGCTTTAGTGTCAAGGCTTTAGTCGTGCGGCGCCTTTTTCTCGTGTCCAGATACGTTGATTGCATGCAGGCGCAAGACAGGGGGAACAGTGCACAAAGACAGTGTACAAAAACGAGGTGGTTATGTATGTATGTGGGTGCCTGGTGATCGATTTTGTTATATGGATGTGCAGCTGCTGGAGCGCTGTTCGTGTATGTCAGTATTATGTGTGTGTCAGTCCCTTCCATGGGATGGACACTGTGTGGCGCGCGAAGGCCGCGAGGGAGCAGGCCATCGTGGTGGTGGGGTGGGAGAAACAACAATAAGGTCGACTGACGAAAGGCTGACGATGGATGGATGTTGATGATCAGATCACAATGACCGACATGCATGAGTTCGTTGATGGGCAAAGCCATGCAGCACATCCACACATTCATGCCATGCGGTGATTCATTCGATCTGTCGGTTTCGCTCTCGATGCATCCGGTCCACACGTAGACACATACACGCACACGACAAGCCTCTGCCTGCCTCTGCGCTCTACCACATATCTGCCTCTACAAGTAAGTAAGGGCACGTCATCCATCCCTCCACCCATCGATCTGCACACATGGTTCGCGACTGCGGACCATCCTGACTGACGTCAGTCATTGCATGGGCAATGTCCAGCACACTCACACACCGGCCAGCCATCCGAGAGTCGTGGAGAGTCGTGATCGACGCATCTACCCATAAAAGCCAGTCGCATATGACAACACGTGACAGAGAAACGATTGAGTGTGTAGATGGGTGGCCTGACTGTGTGTGTAAGACGCATACTCACTAACCTAAACATCATCTCAGATATGCTATCAATCAGCATCCATGGATCCGCTCGCTATGTGCCAAGCAGGAGATAGATACTACTCGGAAGCGGCACGGCACAGAGGCGTGGGCAAACCCACGGAAAAGACACACACACACTCACAAGCAGCTAGCTGTCCACTGACCTGACGTCCACACACGGCACAGACGCACGCATAGGGACAGACACAGAGAGGGGGTGGGGTGAGTGTGTGTGTGGGGGTCGATGGTGCAAGTAAGTGTATGTGAATGTGTATGTGTATTATATGTGTGTTCGTGTAAGCAAGTGCCGCACACACGCACTGATGAACACGTTGTGAGATGCTCTCTCTGCCTTGTCTCTGCCCGACAGACACATGGTTACGTATATGAGGGTTTCTGACTAGGCCAGCTGGCCAGAGTGCAGGCAGGTACACACACTCATGTATATGAGCTGTGCGGCGGCACAAGGAGCTGTCGATGGGATGATTGATGGCCCGAAAGCGCAGTTGTCGTGTCCGCCGGACGCGCTGGAAAAGCGCGGCCAGCGACGAAAAACAGCGGCGGAAAGAGCAGTGCTCATGCGCAGCAGGAGAAGGCTGTGCATCGTGTCGCAGTAGGAGGGAGGGGTCGACTCCAAATCAGAAGAGGCAGTGTGTCCTCTTGGTGCGCATGTGTGTGCGGGCCGCCAAGGAAAACCGCTGGATGACAGAAGGAAGCCTGTAGATGAATGGTGGACCACAAATGTGGCGTCAAGTGGATGCACCGGATCGACCCTTGTCTGCTCGTGGTGCGCATGTGTGTCTTGGCCGTCGGGTGTGGTGTGAAGCGGGCCGCACCCAACACCGCCAAAGCAGGAGAGGAGCAGTGAGTCTGTGGGTGCCTGCAGTAAGGTATGTAAGCCTATACATGCATACAAACAGCACATGGTGAGTGGAGTGAGTAAGCCGAATGAACCGTGGACCAAAAATACAACAAATACGCAGTCAGTCAGTCAGCAGTAGTAAGTCGACATGGATGCACACGGGCATGGCGTTACGCTCACACCTCTACACGCATCGCACGCATCCACGAACCATGCATGGGTCACGATTGTCACCACATGAGAGTGAATTCGTCTGTCATCCATCCATCCATCCAGACACACACACCCCGACACGCTGGCTGCATCACAGTCAGTCAACGGGCAGGCATGGGCCTCATCCATCCATTCTGGCAGCCAGTCATTCACAAATAAGGCAGTCACGCAACCAGAAATTACCAGACGGTACCAATGTCTACACTGACACTCTGACAGACGTCACGCCACCCACACCCATGGCCAGCCCCGGGCCGACACCATCCATCCATCCACCCACCCACCCTCCACCAACCGACCTCCCGCCCCCGACAAGCACCACCACCACCACCACCAACCGATTGTTTCGGTCAACGAGAACACCGCCGACGCACATAAAAAGTAGACAGACGGGGAGTAGACAGCGACAGACACACCACACCCACGCACACGAACGAAAAGGGAGTGTCCGCACCATACGGAGGGACGAAAAGAAAACGAGAAAGCAGCGTCCGCACCATACGGAGGGACGAAAAGAATACGCCAAAGGAGAAGAAAAGGCAACGGGTAGGGCTGCTGACTCAAAAGCAATACAATACAACACACTAATTAACTAACGTACATCCATACCATGGACAAAAACAAAAAACAGCCATCCTCCCCCGTCTGTCTACGTATGGAGGCGCGGGGGCCTCTT